TACTTCAAACTACTGACTGCTCCATATTTGGCGTTGGGAAATAACGAATTCAACGGAAACCCAAAGGTCAATACCCAGAAACACAATAGGCGTAGATGTCAGATATTTGCATGGTATAACTGACGTTTCACTACGTAATGAAATTCTAATTTTAGTATAATTTATGCTGACGTAATGGTTATTTCGAACACGGGGATGGGGGTAAGATCGATGATTTAGTGTGAAGCGTTTTGGTACTATATTTTGAAAATTAAAAAAACAGAAGGTATTAATAGTGAAATTGTGCCTATTTTAAAGTGGTGAGCTTGTATTAGAAAATTTGTTAATAGTTTTTGGCTGAAGAATATTATTTAATCTGGGTTGCACACCTCATTAGATCCTATCTCATAAAATGGTTTGATCCAGGCTTTCCCGCCAGAACTAATGTATGCTGACGTAATGAAGAAATTTCAGCATCCTATCCCAGTGTGCAACTCGCTATTTGGGTTATTGCCTAGACAACGGGTCACGAGGGCTCATCAATACCACCCACGTGATAAAACTACGTCATCAACAGCCAATCAAATCTGAAAAACATTACATCACTATTTTGCTGCTATTTTTAGCTACATGAATCATACTATAAAGCAGTGACGAACCCTAACTAGACAGGAAACACGTTGGTTGGAGCTGCGCAACACACTGTACAAGACATACTCAAATATCGTCGCTCTTTTCGCCACCATTTGCCGCCGATTGTCAGACAGTTGACTCACATAGTTGCTGATTCACCTCATTTGCCTACCGAGATACCAAAACCGCCCAGTAATGATGACAATGGAGGCGCAACTTTACGATGATCAACCCAACCCGTGGTTAGACAAGAAGAAGTCAATGAAGCTCGATCTGTGTACACAACCGACGAAAAAATCCTACGCTGTGCTGTCTACGCCTGATGTTCAGATGCTGAAACTGGCTTCACCAGAATTAGAAAAACTGATCATGTCACAACAGGGTACAGTTATAACTACCCCAACGCCAACTTCAATTTTATGCCCGAAGAACGTGACACTTGAACAAGAACAATTTGCAGAAGGTTTCGTTCAGGCGTTATCTCAGTTGCATGGAGGCGTCCCGTCATCAACATCGGCAACGACAACGTTACCGTCATCATCGGGAACGCTACATTACCCGAGCCAAGCCTCTGTCACCACCACTACCACATCGCTTCCAGGTAGCGCCTCTGTCGACCAACCAATGCAACCAGTTTCATCAACCGCCAGCACGTGTGTCACGTCCCCACGTCGAAATAACGGAACACACGACTACACCGGCACCATTGCTACTGTGGGAGTGCAACGCATCAAACAGGAAGAAGCTCCACAAACTGTACCTGTGTTCCTGGCTAAGGGCACACCGCCAACGTCGCCCATCGACATGGAAATGCAGGAACGTTTCAAAGCTGAAAGAAAACGCCTTAGGAACAGGATCGCCGCCAGCAAATGCCGAAAACGAAAACTGGAGCGCATTTCTCGCCTTGAAGAAAAAGTGGACGATCTTAAAAATCAGAATTCAGACCTTTCATTAAGTGCTACACAACTCCGTGAGCAAGTCTGTAAGTTGAAACAGCAGGTTATGGAACACGTTAAAAGTGGATGCCAAGTTATGTTGGCACAACAATTGGCGTTTTAAATATGCCGAACTTTGAACAAACTTTTTGCCAAGAGAAAAATCAGTTATATTTATATTTATTTTCTAAAGTGACTTTTTATGAGTGGACAGTTTTTAGGGAAACCTTGTTCCCTGTCGCTCACATTGTTTTTTCTACGTCAGTGCACTGGAAAGTGACTTTACAATATGTGTTTTTTTTTGAAAACAGGTTTTTAAATAATTTGGCACGCCTTTATTTTTATAAACTAACGCGTGGGAAATCCCGATTCCATTTCAAAAACGCAGCCTCGCCGTATTTGGTACATACGCACTACGTCATACCTAATTATGCGAATCTGTAAAAGGGCAAGTTGGCGCTGTGCCCAAAACGTGCCTAGTTGCATGTTTCACGGGGATTTTATCGGGATTTTCCGCGTTATTTATATATTGCGCGTGCATGATGGAAATGCTCTTAAGGAAGTGTAAATGTCATGGAGTAATTTTACAGATATCCAAACTGATTACAGGAAGTGCCACGCCAGGGACTTCCGGTCTTCATGGAAGCTATATATTTCCTGTATTATAGATAATTATGTCGTACAGTCCAATTTAGTGAGAATTGTATAAATCAGAAATGTGTATAAATGTTTTGTTCTGTGTCGATGAACTTTGGCGAGGACAATATGACAGATTGATCTTGAAAACTTGCTTACAATTACAAAATATATTGTCGTGGGTTGACTTTTCAGTGTTTTTGTATTTATTACAGTGACTGCTATTGTTGCATGCATTATAAGTAAGAATTTTAACCTATTTCTTAAGAAACTGAAAATTATTC